AAGAAATTTTTCGTATCTCGCTCCACAAAAATATAGCTGCAATAAGTGTCGCAATATCATGAATTAGAAAGAAGTTTTTTTTCCTGGATAGCTCAAAAACGTTTACAAAATTTTTCTGTCTACACGTGCGTTCATTTGCATACCAAGTTGTTTTTAAAAAATATTATACCAGATTTTTTTTTGGACGTCAAGTCAAATGATCTTTGATTCGTAAAAGCCGCATCAAAAGCTCATTGAACTGCTTTGCAGATAGAAGCGGAGCAATTGCACTGGATGAGTTGGAAACAGCAATTCGTAATCTTGGCTTGGAACAAACCCGAGATGAGCTTGATAAGATCATAGACGAGGTGGGTATTCCTTTTGTTGTTTGTTGAAAAAAGTGTTTCCCATCGGGCCTTCTATATTCTTTTTTTTTCTATTTTCGAGTAAACTACAATCTATATCAAATTTGTAGGACAAGCCTAGTAAGAGGCACTTACCTTTTCACAAATGTTATATCGAATCTAAAGTTTTCCGTGTCTGCGATTTTTTGTTTCTCAGCAAATGTAGCGATTATAGCATGCCGAGGCGCAAATTGAAATTTTTGGTCATATTTGGCACCAAATAAGATCTTGAAAGTTTAATCTTAGGTGGATCAACGCGGAAATCATCAAATCGACTTCGATGAGTTTTGCATAGTCATGAGAAGGTTATACATGAAGAAACGGAGCTGGAATGAAGTTGTCAAGGAATGTTTTAGCGTTTTCGATAGAGTAAGTGAAATTTTTCATTTTCATGGTTGCATTGGTTGATTTTGAATTTTTAGTCTGAGTCGAGTGTGATCTCCAAGAAAGACTTCCAGTACATCTTGAGAGAGCTGGGGGACATCACAGACAATCAAATCATCGATGAAATTTTCCTCGAGGTAAGCTTTCCCTGAATTTGCCAGTAGCTACAAGAGTATCGCTTCTTCCCATTGTTCCAAAGCATAGTATGAAAAAAATTGTTCAGGCTGACGTTGATGGAAATGGTTTGATAGACTACGACGAATTTACTTACATGGTGAAAAACTACATGACCGATGATGATATCAACTGAGAGATCTCATATTTCTTTGTACATACATTTTTTACATGTATTTACTGTAATACTCAGATTAGCAATAAATATATGTATGATTGTTGTAGCATTTTACATCATGAGGTATACAAAAGGCCATTAAGTTTTCACTTTCCACCTAATTCTAAGGGTTTATAGGTGACTGAAAAGGAATATAAGGGTCATAGTCTTTCTTCGGGACTATTTCAATCGTGCAATCTAACTTCATTGAGATTTAAAAATCTTGAGATGATGTTCGAAGTATGAATGAAAGAAAAGTTTTGACTTTTTGAACCCTAGTAACAACTTCATTATATTATTTGACTGGGATCGTTCTTGTAACTTTCCAGAAATTTACTTAAAACACTGTTTTGAAAGCGAAGATTTGCAAAATAAAGTAGAAAAATTGCCAGAAAAAAGCCAAGTAACTCAAACCTACAATCCGAAGGAGACGAAGTATGTTAGTTAGGCACTAATCATTGAACTTCGGCCACCTTTTTAAATTTTTTAAAAGAGTTTTTATGAACCTAAGAGAGCATCAGTGAGAATGTGAGAGCAGTTTAAGAGCTTAGCTATCAGTAACGCATCTAAAAACT